GCCAAGATTAAAGTTTTACAAAAGTAGGTCAAACTCCAAGGTCAAGGTCAAATGGTCAAAGTTGTTGGTATCTAAAGGAAGGTCTTGCCACAAGGATAACATGTGTGATGTATGAAAGCCTTGGAACCAACCGTTCAAAAGTTATTCCAAGGTTAAAATTTTCTAAAGTAGGTCAAGGTAAAAGGGTCAAAGTTGTTGGTATCCAAAGGAAGGTCTTGTCACAAGGATTACACATGTGAAATATAAAAGCCCTAGCACCAATTGTTCAAAAGTTATGGCCAATGTAAAAGTTGGGTAAAATTTTGCAAAACTTGGTCAAACTCAAAGGTCAAGGTCAAAAGTTCAAAATGATGGTATCCAAAGAAAGGTCTTGTCACAAGAAATACACATGTGATATATGAGACCCATAGCTTCAACCAATCAAAAGTTATGGGCAATGTTAAAGTTTTTGCGGACAAATAGACAAACAGACAGACGGACAGACAGGGCAAAAACTATTCCCGTATAATTATGGGAGCATAATTATGATGTAAAAAAAATGTGACTTTGGGACTTTGTATGAACAGCGATCGATCTCAGAAACACCTACAAACAATACAAATCTGTGAACAGGGCATAAAATACGGATCCTAGGAAATTCCAAAGATGGTATCAGATGTCTAGGAGGAGTATGCATTCCCATTCAACCTGTCACATCCGCCTTGAATCCCATGTATTGATTGCGTAGTTAAATTTAGTATAAAAACGAAGGCCTAACATTTAGTACGAAATATGCCCGTCAAAATATGATCCAATGATAGCGTATATTTGCTCACAATATCATTATTTATAACGAACATCATAAACGAGGTTGTTGAAATCCCGGTAAAATCACTTTATCTGTCAGTAGCTTACCCCGGTTTAAAAATTGATCGTATTCAGAGCATGCTTTTGAGGATTGAATAAGTTGCAAGACTTGAACACTAGAAGCAAGTAATAGCGAATTATTGCAACTTAATTAAGAAAAGCTGACGATGGAAAAGCTGAAAATATCTTTTCATAGAGTTTATTTGTAAGTTGGCCCTTATTGTCTATCATCAGTAAATTATCCAAATATTAAACAATTATGACAATTTACTTCAGTATTGAAAGTCGGGATCAAGGGTATTCTTAATTTGTCACTGGATATTAATACACTACATATTTCAAACTACAACAACGCAACACATTTAGATTTGTCATGCACTCAAGGCTTACAAATTTTCCGTGGAAATTACTATCATAAAACCTGCATCAAAAATACTCTTCAAATTTATAGACCGTTCACGGTAGCTCAGTCGGTAGAGCGCTCGCACCGTGATCGGGAGGTCGTGAGTTCGAATCTCGGCCGCGACAGACCTAAGTCGATACAAAATAGGCAGCAACTGTTCCTTCGCCATGCGTTCGGCACTTTGAAGTGAAAGTTGCGGGTCCTTCGGATGAGACCTTAAAAACCGAGGCCCCGTGTCACGGCAGGCGTTGGCACGATAAAGATCCCTCACTGCTCAATGGCCCTGAGTGCCGAGTAAAGGTCAAAATTTGAAGCCCTTCACCGGTATATGGTGACGTCTCTATATGAGTGAAAAATTCTTGAATGGGACGTTAAACAATATACAATCAATAAATCAATCAATCAAATTTATAGAATTATAATTACTATGTTTTCATTTGATTAAACTATATGTGTTCAAAAAGAACTTGCATATAATTTACCCTAAAATGTATTTGTTGATCAAATTACAAAGAAAATGCTTTTTTCACTTTTCCAGAAAATATATCTGAAGTTTGGAAATTTTCCCTATAAAAGTGTATAATATGATGAACTTAAATGATGACTTTGAAGAAATACCATGGGTAAATATATACAAGTATTACTTTAACACTCCGATGGGCTTGTAGATTCTAAATTTCATACACAGTAAAAATATATCTAAACTGTCTTGCTTGCGTAAATTTTATTAATATGTTAAATAAAAAGAACATGCATGTGCTGGTTTATCGTATTATTATAAGTAAAATGGACGTATTACGGTATATATACTAACCCTGGACGTAACAACCGATAAAACTAACTATTAACTAGTAAGTAAAATGCGCGAATATCCTACGAACAACTTACTGAAACACGACAAAGGGCGAAAAATGGCGGCATCTCTAAAGATGGCATGTATAATTTTATAATTATGTATTCATATTTAGTTCACCTGAGCTCAAGTGAGCATTTCTGATCGAAATTTGTCCGCTGTCTGTCGTTGTCGTTGTTGTCGTCGGCGTCGTCGTTGTAAATTTTTCACAATTTCATCTTCTTCTCCAGCACCACTGGGCCAATTTCAACCAAACTTGCCACAAAGCATCCATGGGTGAAGGGGATTCAAGTTTGTACAAATGAAGGGCCACGCCCTCTTTCAAGGGGAGATAATAGAGAATTGGTGAAAAATTAATAGCATCTTTTAAAAATCTTCTTCTCAAGAACTAGGGCCAGGAAAGATGAAACTCATGTGGTAGCATCCTCAGGTAGTTTAGATTCAATTTTGTCCAAATCATGACCCCCGGGGGAAGGGCGGGGCCACAATGGAGGATCAAAGTTTTACATAGAAATATATAGGAAAACCTTTAAAAATCTTCTTCTCAAGAAAAGCAAAGCCATGATGAGTCATATTTATATGGAAGCATCCTCAGGTAGTGTAGATTCGAATTTGTTCAATCATGACACCCTGGGGGTAGGGAGGGGCCACAATGGACTTTCAAAGTTTTACATTCAAATATATAGGAAAATCTTTAAAAAATCTTCTTCTCAGGAACAGCAAAGCCCTGATTGGTCATATTTATGTGGAAGCTTCCTTAGGTAGTGTAGATTCTATTTTGTTCAAATCATGACCCCCGAGGTGTAGGGTGGGGCCACAATGGAGGATCAAATTCTTAAATAGAAATATATAGGAAAATATCTTCTGAAGAACTGCAAAGCCATGATAAGTCATTTTGATATGGAAGCATCCTCAGGTAGTACAAATTCAATTTTGTTCAAATGATGACCACCGGGGGTAGGGTGGGGCCCAATGGTGGATTGAAAATTTTACATAGGAACATATAGGAAAATATCTTCTTCTCAAGAACTGAAAATCATGTTTAGTCATTTTGATATGGAAGCATCCTCAGGTAGTGTAAATTCAATTTTGTTCAAATGATGACCCCCGGGGCAGTGGCAGATCCAGGAATTTCGTAACGGAGGGGGGGGGGGGCAGTAGAGGCAGTGGGTCTGGGGGCTGCATTGAAGCCCCCAGTGGGTCTAGAGCAAGGCCTTGGTTGGGGTCTGGGAAGCTGACGAATTCTTAGAAAGAAGAGATGTTTTTTCCTTGATTTTATGATGATGGACATATAATTTCTACATTAAAAAAATTCAAACGGGGAGCGCACGCCCGGCGCACCGACCCTGGATCCGCCTTTGGTGGGGTGGGGTAGGGCCCAATGGGGATCAAAAGTTTTACATAAGAACATATAGAAAAAATATTTCTTCTCAAGAACAGAAAAACTATGTTTAGTAATATTGATATGGAAGCATCCTCAGATAGTGTAGATTCAACTTTGTTCAAATGATGACCCCTGGATAGGGAGGAGCCACAATGGGGGATTAAATTTTTACAAAGGAATATATGGGATTTTTTTTTAATCTTATCAAGTACAACAAAGCCATTTGTTAAATTGACATGGAAGGTAGTTTAGAATTCACCCCCCCCCCCCGGTAATCTTTTCAATACTGAACTGATTTGTGCTTTTGCCTAGCCAATGTGCTCAGGTGAGCGATGTGGCGCATGGGCCTCTTGTTTTAAATTAAAGGGGCCATTTAAATTTTTGGTGGGTCAGTAAATTTAGAAAGTTCACTGGTCCTACTGGCCAGTAAGTTTGAAAAGTTTTCGTGAGGACTGCTTTAGTTTAAGAATCCAGACACATTTTTGTGAACATTTTAGATTATTGAACTGCTGATTGTCAGAACCTAAGGATCGGAATACCTTAAATAATAGAATATTTTATACCGAGATCAAAAATAACAAAAATAAAATTAAAACAGCCTAACTTCCGTCTTGAGGTGAAAACTTCCTCAAAAAACGTTCTACTTTACCAATACAAACCATTTTCATTTTATTAGTTTTCAGACTAGAAAGTAATGCAAAATAACCCATTTCCCTTACAATACCACACACAGACTGTGTGATCCATAAGATAAAGTTGAAGTATCATCAGCATATTGTGAAAGTTCATATTCTTCTCTATCAGTTTTAAATCCTTTCGTCATTATTTTGAATTAAAATCCGAAAAGTAAACAAAAGGATTGTAAAGAATGGGTAATCTTGCCAAAATTCCATTTGAGGATACAAGTAATCGAACGTAATTCCATTTTGTATGACGCATGCTTTATTTACGATGTAGAAAATTTGAAATTTATTTTTAATTTACAACTTAATTGTTATTAAAATGTTCAGTAATTATGTCCGATGTTTGAGACCATTATTTCTTTGTCTTTCAATGTCTACATACTACTCTACTTACTAAATCAAGAGAAAAGACTTACTGCGTCATTTTCGTTGTATCTGTTTAGCGTTACTTTTTACCGACTCCATTTTTTCAGCCTTAAAACATATACTGTGTTAAGAAAGCAGTTTGTTCTATAAATATGTTTACTCACTATGTACCTTTTACTTTCTGTTTCTTTTTCCTTACATAGATCATAGTTCTAAACAAAATGATGGTCAATTGGCAATTGTGTTATTAATCACTTTAATATAAACTTTCCTATCCATCTGACAAGTAAATACTATTGATATCAGATATTCTAAGCTACAAATTTTCTTCATATAGTGCTTGTATTAAGGTATTCTATTAATAACCTTTTAAAAATACCTGGATAATGTTTAATGATATGCTGGCACAGTAATTAAGAATTCATACAAGCAATCAATATAAAGGATATTGCCGCTTCGATTCCTTCAACTTTTCAATACGACACTTTTTTTCAGAAGTTCTAAAATGTCAACATTTCCTCCTTGTGCGGCGTATAATACGGCATTACTTCCTTCGTTATTTACCTGTTGAAGCATATCTGGATAATGTTTGATGATATGTTTGCACATTTCTAATTTAGAACTTACACACGAAATATGAAGAATATTACTGCCATTCTTGTTTTTATTTGTCAGGTCGACGCCCTTTTCTGCCAGAAGTTCTAAAATTTCAATACTTCCACCTTGTGCAGCGCATAATGCGGCATTCCATCCTTCATTATTTACCTGCTTAAGCAGATGTGGATAATGTTGGATGATATGTTGGCACATTTCTAATTTAGAATTCATACAAGCAATGTGAAGAATATTACTACCAATCTTGTTTTTATTTGTCAGGTCGACGCCTTTTTCTGCTATAAGTTCTAAAATTTCAACATTTCCTCCTTGTGCAGCGTAAAATGCTGCATTCCACCCTTCATTATTTACCTGCTTGAGCATATCTGAATAATGTTGGATGATATGTTTGCACATTTCTAATTTAGAATTTACACAAGCAATGTGAAGAATATTACTGCCATTCTTGTTTTTATTTGTCAGATCGACGCCTTTTTCTGCTAGGAGTTCTAAAATTTCAACATTTCCTTCTTGTGCGGCGCACAATGCAGCATTCCATCCTTCATTATTTACCTCCTGAAGAATATGTGGATAATGTTGGATGATATGTTTGCACATTTCTAATTTAGAACTTACACACGCAATGTGAAGAATATTACCGCCAATCTTGTTTTTATTTGTCAGGTCGACGCCTTTTTCTGCCAGAAGTTCTAAAATTTCAACACTTCCTCCTTGTGCGGCGTATAATGCGGCATTGCTTCCTTCATTATTTACCTGCTTAAGCATATCTGGATATTGTTGGATTATATGTTTGCACATTTCTAATTTAGAACTTACACACGCAATGTGAAGAATATTACTGCCAATCTTGTTTTTATTTGTCAGGTCGACGCCATTTTCTGCCAGAAGTTCTAAAATTTCAATACTTCCTCCCTGTGCGGCGCATGATGCGGCATTCCATTTATCATTATTTATCTGTGTAAGCATGTCAGAATAATGCTGGATGATATGTTTGCACATTTCTAATTTAGAATTCATACAAGCAATGTGAAGAATATTACTGCCAATCTTGTTTTTATTTGTCAGGTCGACGTCTTTTTCTGACAGAAGTTCTAAAATTTCAACATTTCCTCCTTTTGCGGCGCATAATGCAGCATTCCATCCTTCAGCATTCATCTGCTTAAGCATATCTGGATATTGTTGGATGATATGTTTGCACATTTCTAATTTAGAATTCATACAAGCAATGTGAAGAATATTACTTCCATTCTTGTTTTTATTTGTGATTTCGACGTCTTTTTCTGCCAAAAGTTCTAAAATTTCAATACTTCCTCCTTGTGCGGCGTATAATGCAGCATTCCATCCTATATTATTAACCTGCTTAAGCATATGTGGATAATGATGGATGATATGTTGGCACATTTCTAACTTAGAATTCAAACAAGCAATGTGAAGAATATTGCTGCCATTCTTGTTTTTATTTGTGATTTCGACGTCTTTTTCTGCTAGAAGTTCTAAAATTTCAACATTTCCTCCTTTTGCCACGTATAACGCGGCATTGCTTCCTTCATTATTTACCTGTATAAGCATATCAGGATAATGTTTAATGATATGTTTGCACATTTCTAATTTAGAATTCATACAAGCAATCTGAAGAATATTACTGCCAATCTTGTTTTTATTTGTCATGTCGACGCCTTTTTCTGCCAGAAGTTCTAAAATTTCAACATTTCCTCCTTGTGCGGCGCATAATGCAGCATTACTTCCATCACTATTTGCCTGCTTAAGCATATGTGGATAATGTTGGATGATATGTTTGCACATTTCTAATTTAGAACTTACACAAGCAATGTGAAGAATATTACTGCACTTCTTGTTTTTATTTGTCAAGTCAACGCCTTTTTCTGCCAGAAGTTCAAAAATTTCAACACTTCCTCCTTGTGCGGCGTATAATGCAGCATTCCATCCTATATTATTTACCTGCTTAAGCATATGTGGATAATGGTAGATGATATGTTGGCACATTTCTAATTTAGAACTAACACAAGCAATGTGAAGAATATTGCTGCCAATCTTGTTTTTATTTGTCAGATCAACGCCTTTTTCTGCCAAAAGTTCTAAAATTTCAACATTTCCTCCTTTCACGGCGTATAATGCGGCATTGCTTCCTTCATTATTTACCTGCTTAAGCATATGTGGATAATGTTGGATGATATGTTGGCACATTTCTAATTTAGAACTAACACAAGCAATGTGAAGAATATTGCTGCCAATCTTGTTTTTGTTTGTCAGATCAACGCCTTTTTCTGCCAAGAGTTCTAAAATTTCAACATTTCCTCCTTGAGCGGCGTATATTGCTGAATTACTTCCTTCATTATTTACTTGCTTAAGCATATGTGGATAATGTTGGATGATATGTTTGCACATTTCTAATTTAGAATTCATACAAGCAATTTGAAGAATATTACTGCCAATATTGTTTTTATTTGTCAGGTCGACGCCTTTTTCTGCCAAGAGTTCTAAAATTTCAACACTTCCTCCTTGTGCGGCGCATAATGCAGCATTACTTCCTTCACTATTTACCTGCTTAAGCATATGTGGATCATGTTGGATGGTATGTTGGCACAATTGTGTATTTCCATTTATACACGCAATATGAAGATCATTATATTTTGTTTTACTTTCATGTTTTACGTCCTGTATTCTGACGTCTGATTGTTCTGAAATGTAACTTACTCCTTCCTCATTACTTTTTAGGGGAACATATTGTTCATCATCCTTTTCCCGTGGCTTTTCTAAACGTTGTTTACTTTTGAATGTTCTGCTTTCTGAAACAATGATTTCGATGACACAAGTATATTTATTTAGCATTAGCATAATTAGCATTAGCTATATATATATATATATATATATATATATATATATATATATATATATATATATATATATATATATATATATATATATATATATATATATATATATATATATATATATATATATATATATATATATCCAAAGTCTCTCTTTTTTTTGGTTAAAGAATAAATAAACTTTAACACAATTTTTGAAATAATTCACATTGTTACCGGCCTTCATTAGTCGTTGAACAAAACATCAGAAAAAATCAGATGATACATGTACATATAAGTGGACTATAAATGGTGTAAACTAAATTCCTCTACATGAATAAGCATATATATCAAAACTGAAATAGAATGTACACACACACAAAACTGATCATTAACATTGTTTAATGACAATAGTGCCCCCCTTTTTTATAATGAGTGAGATATTTAAGACATGTCTGTTGTATAAAGTCTTATCAGTTTCTTCAACATGCACAATCCTGTTACATTTCTAACAAAAGACTCCATATGCAATATTGCAAGAATCACAATTAATATTATTTTTGATGTGATAAATGTTTCCTTTATTGTCCTCATACTGGCTTGTTTTAATGATATGTTTGCAAAGAATACGTTTCTTAGCATAATAAGGCTCGCTCAAATTTCTTTTCTTAAAAAATAAATTATTTTGCTTTTTGTGAACAAAAATGTCTTTTAAATTTTTGTCTCTTCTAAAGGCAACAAGGGTTTTGTGTTTGAACGAGTTTTTAGGATGATCAGAATTTTCCAGATTTGTTGGCGCTTTTTTAAAATTATTGTGAATATTTGAAGTCCTTTTGAATAGGTAAGTACAAAGGGAACACGATCGCCCTGTTTATCTTTTTAATTACATTTCAAGAGATCCAAATGATTACGTTTATCCACTTTTAAAAGTTGTTTTTCCACTTCGTTGTTTGAATAGCCGCGTTTTCTTAAGTTTGTTTTCACTTTTTTGCGCCCGTGTGCTTGTCCACAGACAACATATTAACTCACCGGAATATCGGAAAATCCATCTAAGTGAACATTTGGATCGCTGTGGAAATAAACAATTTAATATTTTTCCTTCCTACAAACTTTCAGGTGAAAGTGTCATCCAGATAGGTGGAAAAAAAACACAACATTTTATACATGTTTTCAAACCTAAACGTAACAATTTATCATAATCGTTATCACAATTGTACATATCATTTTCATTCTACAGTTTTGTCGCATTGTTTAACTATGACGTCACTATTGACACTAGTATTGTGTTCCGCTTATTTTGACGTTATGTTGCTATGTTACTTATTGTAAAGCTTCTGAAGATTTGAAGAAAGCACCAAAGCTTTACTTAATATTTCCGTATTTCTTTTTTTTTTTAAATTGTATCTGTAATTTACCGAGCACTGTGGATTTATATTTGTTTTTCAATATATATAACTTACTTCTTTTTTTTCTTCCCATATAGATGAAATACACAAGAAATAAAGAAATCAGCAGACAAAATGCCAATCCAAATACAACAGACAAGGATAAAGTAACTCCATTCCCTTTTGCTGTTGGAATCACTGCTAATGTTTGTGGCTTGCAGTCACTTCAATAAAAAGCATGTTTATCTTTCACAAGTATCAATTATGTGAGGATGAAATGTAACGATAACAAAGAGTAATTATGATCAATAGTTCAACTAAACATTACAAACTGAGTGCCACTCTCTACCATCGGCGCATACATTCACCTCTGTCGTTGGCTCGCGTATATCACAGTGATAAGCACGAGAAATAGTGCGTTTGTTTTAAATCATTATAATTAAATTCCTGCACTAATGTTTGTCTTTTAAGGTAGATATTTACTAAGTAGATCTAGAAATATTAGTTTAATTTGAAATGATCCTAGGAATATAATGTTTTTAACCTTATGTCAAAAATTTTGACGCTAGCCCATTGCAGAGGTGTCTGAGAGAGGAACGAACGACAACTCTGCATAGGAGATTGACTGAGTGCAGGGCGAAGATGGACCCCTGAAAACATCAGACTTGGGATCAGGTGCAGTGGAGGAGTAAGAATACCCTTTTATCTGGTCACAACCACCGTAGGCTCTTTCTATTGATCAGGAAAATTTTTCATGAAAAATAAAAACGGATTATTCCGTTTACCTGATCAATACAGAGGGATAATGACGGATGTGAGCGGTCAACAAAGGATGTTGACTCCTTCTGGAAACCTGATCCCACCCCTGGTGTTTCCGTACGTTCGTGTTTTTGCACTGATCCCGTTTCGCATTTTTACAGAGTTTATAAAGTTGATCAAAGTTCGTTCTCTTCACCCTTTTCATTTACTTTGAAGAAATGTTGCAGTATATTTTTTCCAAAAAAAAAATCAAATTAACTTCTACTATATTTACACGCAAATCTATAATTCAGGAAGAGAAGTTTCAAGGAGTTTGCAATTGATTTCAAGTTTACTGATGATGTTAAACTCAACTTATTAAAAGATAAATATTTCACTAACAGACAGTTTAATCAAATATTTGATTTTGCATTGATATTAAATCAGGATAAACCATTTCAATAATTTTGATGCTAAAAAGTGTTGTTTTTTCCCCTTTGAACTTTATTTTTATTTATTTATTATAACTTTATAATTATATAGGAATGGTCATTTTGTAGAGATGATTTATTTAAAATCGCCATATTTACCAGTCATTATAGATGCAATTTGAATCTGCAATGTAACACCCTCTTTCAGTATTTATTTCGAGACAAGCTGGGTCTAAAAATAGAACAGTTAAAAATAACAGTAAACATGATTGCATTTACCATTTTTTTTTATTAGAAATGTCGGCCATAATGTTTAAAATAATCCATTCTATCAGGCCGAGTGCAATGCGGGTTGATAATCTTTCGGACTCTTCAAAAGTCATATAAATCGTGGTTGCTTGCACTTACTGAACTTACATTTGTAAATCTCTCTAGTCATATAATGTTTTCTCGGGCATCCGTATGAAAAACTTGTGCAATTCTCAGAATTCATATTTCCAGTGCTGTGAAGGTATGGGCAATGCTCGGCTAAAAGAAACAAAATGATTGCAATAAAAGATATCATACAAATATGCAACTAGATCATTTATAAAATAAATATCGGAAAATGATTTATCATATTATTTTTGGTACTTACTATCCTAAAATAGTCACAATAAGTAGATATACGGACCTTGAGCAATAAAACAGCAACATAATTTGATTGAGAAATATTTCACCCGAATAGCTCATACCTAACTGCCAAGCAGGAAACTTTCCACTTCTGAAACAAAATTGAACAAGCTCGGTTTTGTTTTCGTTGGGAACACAAATATAATTATACTCCCCGTCAATCTGAGGACAAAGTTTGGAGGCAGCTTCCAAATATTCATCCCAGCTTCGCGGACAACTGACAGCGTTTGCCTTATTGAACATGGACGACATCTGGAAATGTAGTGTTAATTATATAATCACGATACAGTGTATTCTTGATCATCAATATTAACTGCAAACTCTGTTTTCTTCATAAAATCTAAATGAAAGTCTGGTGTGTGTTGCAATCCATCGTCACTTGGGTCCATTTATCACAAATCCTAATGTAAACTGAATATATTGATATTGAAGATTAAAATTGGTAGGAATAACTTTCCAAATTGTATATAACATTTATCAGATCTACGCTTGAAAACGTTTCAACTGTTATGGATGACTGCTCTAAACCAGATGCTATACAGGGAAAAGTACAACTATCTGCCCGTTCTTCCAATATTTGTGTCTACAGAACAAAACAAAAAGCGAAATCTTGCGTGTCCGAATATTTGAGTGATATAGTCTCTTACAAACGTGAAAATGTACCAAAATACAATATCCGTTATGGAATATGCTCCTTTTACAGGAATTTTTTTTTTCAGTACTTAAGACTATCCCTCACAAAAAATGTACTTTACTATAGTTAACTATAGTTTACCATAGTTTCAAAGTTTTTACTAAAGCTAATCAAAATATTTTTACTATGAATTTCAAATTGCTATATTATATTTTATTAAATTCCGACGTGCATTTTTCCTATTTTACAGTAAAATATGACTTGTATATTCAAATATTATATCCAAACATTACATCGATATCATTGTTATGTAATTCAATAAATATAAAGGCTTTAAATCATTAAAAAGTTCAAGACGAAATCAAAGTATTTGCTATAGTAAATTTTTGTTAGGGATGTTAGACCTTTTGTTCGTGTTGTTATTAATGCATCTTCATGTTGTATGTGGATTCATGGAGTCATTAGTTTAGTTTAGGTATGACCTCTTGGCGTTCAACTGAAACATTCCAAGTTATGTGATTGAAGTTTAATGAAGCCATTACCCCATGGTTCTAGAGTGGAATCACAATAAAGATGCATTGTGGGTATATTGTTCATTTATAGTATTTTGTACACTGCTTACACCTTACACAATATATATACTATAAAATAGATGTTAAGCAAATAGCTAAGAATTATCCTTAAGATATCTTGTTTACCTGCTGGAATAAAGAAAACGAGTTTGAGGTCATGTATGAAATGTACATTGTCATGTATTATTACAAGAAATCCTTTTTGCCATTATGTTTTAATAAAGGTTTTTAATTTTTTATTCTTTTAAAATTTCAAATAGCTTCAGTATTGAGATTAAGGATCAAAGATAAGCTCGTTTATTGATATTGATATTTCAGTGTGTTGTCGGTTCATAACTCATACTAATCACAACTAACAAAAAAGTATATATTTACATTTTTCTTATAATCTACGATACAATATCATACACGGATTATATCTTATCATCGCACCATGCAAAACGAAAGTAAAAAAAAAAGATAAATAAGTAATATTTATTTAGAAACGGTTATTAAACATTCAGTTCTGGTGAATTTCCATACCTTAATCAGAATACAAGATAATACTTCAGGAGCTGTAACAGTAATGCGCTGGTAAATAAGATGGCGGAAGCATATGTTCCTTAGTTTTAGATTACGGAACAAAATAAGGTTAACACACAAAAGCGTCTACCTGTGATTCACGGTTGAACAAGAAAAATAATTGAAAAGCATTAAATCTCATCGTGAAAGGATAAAATGAAACTTGGAGAACTTACTTGTAAACAAAACTAATAATTCTGTTTGGATTTAGCGAAGTCATCGACACACAGCAATTTTTGGATTTGTTTTCATATAAAATCCTGAGTATAATATATCAGTAGAGTTTTTTTTGAAAACTTGAACCTGAAATTAAATTAAATTAGTTGCTGCTTTCTAGGGATATAAACACTAAAGGATTCATAATGTCAGAATTTACATAGCGCATCAATGTTTGCTTTGATCAAGAATAAACTAATAAAACGTACAGTATATATGTTTTATTTTTCTTTTTATTATTATTATTATTTTATTATTTTTATTTTTTCAGTATTCCATTATAATCGATTACAAAGGGACATTTTATATCAGAAAATACGATTTTCCTCTTCTTTAGTGCACATTATAGATGGAATTTATTGTATGTTGAGAATTTTCAAAAAAGATGAGAGTGGAGAAAGAGCTGCATAAGGGTGAATTCAAAAAATTGCCAAACGCATATTTATCAACCCATACCAAAAACACAGGCAAAGAAAATATATTGCTATGTCTCAGCATATGTCTTTAGATAGTGCCTAAATACCTGCCAAATATCTTGTTGACATCTCAATTAACAAAAAAGTTATGCTCAAAAATGATGCTAAAATTGTCAGGAGTGCAACACCTTTTTGTGACATTTTGAAATTTCAATATTTTTGGAGATCTGTGAAATAAACAATGATGCTTTATATTGAAAATAAAGACTTTCCTGATTAATATTCAAAGTATTGAGCTTTAAATGTGGACTGTAGTAACTTTTGTTTAATCAAGTTGTGGTCATGGCTGATGTTTAAAAAAATGTTATACCATGCCAGGTGTGCAACAGAAAAAATGTAGCATTGCCAAAAAATCATCAATCGTAAAATTCTGAAAGAAAATTAAGACAAAAAAGAATTTTCGAAGTGTTAAACAATAACTGATAAAATTTTAAAACTAAAAAATGTTATATAAATCACAAGCAACATTAATGAGAGTCAAGTATATGTGCGTACCCAATAATGTCAGGAGCGCAACGTTTGATGTTTTGCTCCCAAGCATGAAAAAAACTATTATCATTGTATGATTTTCTGATTTTTATTTTGGAAAATAAAGACAGAAAGAACATTTTTACCAAATAGATTTATCAATTACAGGATCTGTCTTGCTTCAGATCTATTTTTTTTTTTTTTTTTTTTTTTTTTTGTGATTTTTATAATAAATGTTAAAAATAAACTCACGAAAAATTGTCACAAAATTCAAGGAATCCCTCCTCAACTTCACTGAAACAACAGACCAAGTTATTATGTAATTTTCACTTCACAATTCTACTTTAAAGGTCCCAATGCTTTTGGTCAGGAGTGCAATAAATATGTTAGAATTATAAATCATCCAATAAGAATAAAAATAAAGAAAAATTAATGAGTAGAATTTGTTCTGGTTGGTTACCGTGTATGTCCTCTAAAGGAAAGTATGCTATAAAATAAATTTTATCTTCTAGATATACATTTACGCTAGTTTTAAAAGTCAATTCAGGGAATAGTTTTCATCATTTCACATATATTTTTAAATACAATTTATATATATTACACTTTGCAAATAATCATGTTTTAAGGACTTCAAAATATGAAAAACCTGCCATAAACGATGAAAAATATCAAAATGACAAATTGATTTACAAAGTAAGAATGGGGTATTGTGTGTTATAAGTTTTAAAACAATGTTAAATAAAATACATATCAGAGGTCAAGAGTGCAACACAATAATGTAACATAGGGTCACTTTAAAATCTATTAATTTTTGTAAGAGAACTCTTATATAAAAATTCTTGTTTGGCTTAGATTTGAAGAGTTGACTTGAACGGACAAAAAAGTGAATTTTGTGGAATTTTTTTGCTTCATTTTTTTTTTTTCATATCAAAACTTTTCAAACCAGAATGGAGAAAAAAATGTAAAATAACAATCAAAAAGCCAATTTTTTGTCACATATACAAGAGAAGATACTCAATCAAGGTCTAGATTTAATCATTTATACCCTTTTACCATTTCGAAGCATCAAAAACTATAATTTCTTGTGATTATGTATTTTAGAAAGTCTTTTAGAGTGTAATGTTATTTTCTTTTTTCAAAAGAAATTTTACGAGGATTGTTCGGAAAGTTCGTGGACTATGCCAATCTTCGTTATACTATCTTCAAGAAATTTATGTAAAAATATTTATTTTGTTTAAGTGTGAAGTTTCATTTAATAGAATTCATGTTATCTTATTTTAAAATCAACACGATTTGCAACCACAGAGCAAACTCAGCAACACTGTAACGTCAAAATCATACCGACATGAGGTTCTCAAAAATACTATCCCTATACATTTCACACAGTATTGCTCAATACTAGTGCACTCATTAAAAACGTTTTTCTATCAATTGAAATCTATTTTGCTATCAGTTGTTCCAGTAGCATCATTTTCTTTGTCAATGTTATTTTTTTTTTCACTGCATAAGTGTGCTTTCACAAGATCAGAATCTGCGAAGCGCCAAACTCTTAGCATGACGTTACTAACTTTTCAATGTTTTGGATAAGATTTTTACAAATAATCCGTTTTCTCACAGATCACAATCGTCTAATCAGAGTAGTCTAACATTCAAATACCGCTTGTACCATGTACACACTCTTGCATTGCTCGCTTTTGACATATTTCCTACTTCCTTTGGCATTTTCAGAGTTTTTTTCTGGAGTTTTCCAGAGTACAAAACAAAATTGTATGGTAAACCGCTGCTCAGTGACGTTCTACGACGTCATCTTTTTTGACTTTTTCAATGAGGACTACCTATCTTCTGAAAGTGATTTCTTTTCAACAAAGCAAAATATTGAGTCATAATTTGGGATCAGAAACGATGAAGCAATTCTTAATTTAAACGTAGAATTTTTCAGTTCTTTTTTGTCATTTTACAGAAGATGTGACTACAGACATTATTCAGTGTCTTGATTGTAAATAACAAAATTCTGACCTGTTCCGTGATCCGATTTTCACATTTTAAGCCTTAATAAGTTTGAAATAAACCACGATATTTTAAAAATTTTTAATACACATCATTTGAATTTACTATTAAAATATTTCTTCCAAATTTGGATATAATATGGCGTTAAGTAAAAAAAATTATGACGGTAGTCCACGAACTTTCCGAACAACCCTCGTACTAATAAAAATTCTGAAATTTTTAATCCAATTGTCTTCAGGATTTAAACTAGAATGCATGCATGAAGATATAAGTGAAAAATATGTTATCAGTAGTTGAATTTTTCCAAAAAATCAGTTT